GCAGACTTTCGTGTTCTCGATTTGACGTCACATTACCCACTAGAGCCATTCCTCTTTAAACTCGGTCGTGGGGCAAGATGGCGGCCGATTTTCCGTATTTTGACTGGGCATAGAAAATTGAAGATTTGAGCAAATAAAAAAATTTTTGCGCAGAAATACTCAAAAAAATAAGCTTACTTCGTTAAGCGAAAAAAATTTTTTGGGTGTAGGTGCACTTTAAGTCGAGATCCCGGTAGCTATGCTCGGGAGAATTATACAGGCCGCCAATTAGCATAATGTGATCGGACGGCAACTGCACTGTTAAAGCAATAAACTCATATAAATTGGACCGATAGACATCCAAGACTTTAAGACTGTCTCTCGCATAGACCGCAACACCCCCTGCCCAACCTCTGTCCCACCTGAACACATTGTAATTTGGGATATTCACCAATGTACATGAAATTTGACTTAAAAAAAATAAATACTGTCTGACTCATAAGTCATCAAATGCCTGTTGAAGAAAATATACCAGTCAGTGAATCTTAATTTTCTTTTCAAATTAATTGTTAATCGTTAATTGTTAATCGTTAATTGTTAATAATAATACTAATAATAGCAATAATAATAAAACTTTTATAAAGGCAATTATGACAATCACAAGACTTCAAATAAGAAGCGTTTACTGGCAAATTTAATTTATGTTTTTGTTTACCATTAAGACTGCAATCATTTTCTTTATTATCCTTTTTATTATCACTCTCATTTTTATTACAATTGTCATCATATTTTTAAGAATGCCCACACGTTTATTTTAAAAACTCTTGGTACATGTTTTCGGAGAGCGGAAAAAAAATGGGACGACAACAGAAGCACCTGCCGAGACAAAAGAGGGGACTTGGTTTCCATCGAAACCAGGAAAGAATGGAATTTCATTAATGACTAGATTCAAAAGCGAAGTACTACACACAAATATAATGAATGGCACATTGGTTTGCAAAATAAGTCTGGAAATTGGACCTGGGTAAGTGGAAGACCGCTGACTATATGCAAATGGGGAGAACATGACCTAAGTGGTGATGGAGATGTCACTGTTATACTCAAGCAGTCTGATAAAAAGAAACTGGGCGTATTTAATGATCTCTCTCCCTGTCTTAAAAAGGCCTATATTTGTGACATTCCTGAGGGTAAGAGAAACCTACTCTCATTTATAGAGACTAAACTAAAATGCCGAAAAGCGCTTTGGCGTAAGAAAACATTGTCATTTGGTGAACTTACGCTACCTTACCGAAGTTTTAAAGCTAATAGTCAGGATAAGTTTACGCGTACTGTTGTATGGATGAAAATATGGTTGACAATATCAACCAAAGTTTACTCAATGCACATTTCTAACTCTTAAGCTCATGAGCAGAGGAAAGACAACAGGTGGATTAGGGACAGCTTTTGTACCTACCATACATGAGCAGTTATGAAAACTCTCAACTATCGGTTATTTTCTTGCCATCAATGTTTTGTTACGATTTAACAAAATGATGGTCAAATAAAAAAAAAAACATTGCAAAGATATTGTCACTCCAATATATCGTCTGCCATAAACTAACGTGTAATGAACAGTATTGTGACGTTCGTTATCATTAATAATAATAATAATTTAATATTTATATTGCGCAAATCAACATGTGGATATGATCAAATGCGCATCACAACACTTTTCGGGAGACTTTCGCCGGACTGCATCAGCAGTTTACAAACAATCCAAGGAAACTTATTTGAAGATGCGCCCTCCCCCCCAATTCCCAGTAAACAGGCCAGACCACATCACAGTAATCACGTGAGTGGGTTCTTTAACGTCCCCTGCCTAACCAAATTAACTAATTACTAGATCCAGGAGACGGGACCTACGGTTTATTCGTCCTTATCCGAGAAGACTAGAATGTCTATCCATTTCTTGATATTATAGAAAGGTAGCGCATTCTCCTCAGTTATTTTAAGACCTTGAGTGTTGGTCCGGCCGGGGCTCGAACCATCGACCTCGACCTCCCGCACCCCAGTCTAGCGCTCTAACCAATTGAACTAACCGGGAGGCTTAATCAGAAGAATTTCTGATCTAAGTTTACAAAGACACATGTAAATTTATCTTTTACAAAACAAAAACATGCTGCTTTCAAATTCTCTTCAGGTATTCCAATTTTGGTTATCTATTTGATTATCTTTTTTAATTGAATGATGCAGGTGTGGATGCCAGCGCAATGCAAAATTTTCAAAGGAGAGAAATAACTGGCCATAATGCGCCTCAGTTAAGCGAATTCTGCGGACACCTCGATCAACTCAGCACGAATTATATGAGCGAGAAGCTAGTAAGAGTCACCAAATTTCTAGAACGTCCCAGAAGAGAGTGACTCTTGGTTAATAAAAAAAAAACTCCTAAGGCAGAGTTGATAAAAAACTTGATGTTATCTCTACCAGAATATCAACCATTTCTGGTGCGAGACTGAATTGGTTGTTTTACCACATTGAATGATTTCTTTATTTAAAGGCAATGTGTAGAACAGGCCAATTTGTCCTCTTCTTTGAATTAACTACCTTATTTTCTTTCTCATTTGTAACATTTTTGCACCGTTACCAGCTGCTATTGTAGAGGACCTTTCACAAGGCTACTACCACGACTACCATAGCATACCCTGCACACTTGAATATGGCAATAGGAGTTGGGTGCAGAATTGCGACTTCACTGATCATACTTGCCAACTGAAGTGTATCATAATGAGTTGTGAGAGTAGGCAAAATCACATTTCCCCCAGGTTTTGCGGGAAAAATGTAGTCAGACGTACAGCTCATTAGTAGATTTCCCACGCACGAGATTACTGTGTGAAGGATGTCCTCCCCTGGGGTGGGATGGGTGGTTCACAGGACCCCCGTTGATACCAGTGTTTACTACACTAAAGGGGCTATCCTGTATAAATAGAAGATGTCTACTCTACTCTACTCTAGATTACTGTACTGAGGTCAAACATAGCCGAAGTTGCTGTTATCGGATATGCAACATTACAAATTGTAATATGACCAGCGGCGAACAGACATTTGTTACTAGACAAACCTGCTGTCGCATTGGTACGAATTGTGGACCTGAATGTAATAGGATAAGTTGCACACTAAAATGCCAACAAAGGAAAACTCGTGAGTACAACAACATATTTAATACTTGGGAAATATGTATCACATTCAGCTAACTATTATTGGTATCGTTGCAGAGCCGGTAATTTATCCGAAATTGTCATCATTGCTATTATTCCTTACTTTCTAAAAAAACTGTCCAATTATTTGAGATGTGCTTCAAACGCTGTGAGGTGAAGTGAGGTTCAGGCGCACTTCCGATAGCAAAGGTTGCGCTGAGTTAAGCAAGCTGATGAAAAGGAATTCCACAGGGGTGCTATCCTCCAGCAATTTAAAAAAATGGCACTGGCCTATTTCAACTTTTTATTTTTGTGTCATATACTCACCGTTTGGTACACCTGTGCATATTTATTATATTCTAGCCTTTTTACAGTGTGTGTTATACAAAGTTGTGATGTCTAATCCGACGACAAGTTTTCATGGACTAAACCAAGCAAGCGACACATACATACATACATACATACATACGTACATACACACGTACATACGTACGTACGTACGTACATACATACATACGTTACTTGACCACTCCCCATAGGGGCTTTTCAACCCACCCCAGAGGAGGACATCCGCCACACAGTAATCTCGTGCGTGGTAAATTAACGTCTCCTACCCCTAACCCTGCAGGAGACGGGGCCTACGGTTTATTCCTCCTTATCCGAGAAGACTAGAATATCTATCCATTTTTTGATTATAGAAAGGTAGCAGTTCTCCTCACTTATTTTAAGACCATGAGTATCGGTCCGGCCGGGGCTCGAACCCTCGACCTCCCGCACAACACAATTCGGCGCTCTAACCAATTGAGCTAACCGGTAGGCGGTTATTTGCCAGATTATTTGCCCTGCAACTCCGATTTTATGTATCATGTGTTAAACAACAATGTCCCAGAAATGACCTAAATAAGAACAGACAGTATCAAGAAACATTGTCGGAGTGAATAGGAAATACATAAATAATGATATTGATATAAAGTTATGAGTACGATTTGTATCCGAACAGTCTTAAGTGATGCTGTACTATATGTACTCATAGGTATATTTGCTCCTTTATATCTGTTATTTGTTTGTGTGTGTTTTTTATTTGTTTTTTGTTTGTTTCTGTTTTTGTTTTTGTTGCTCTTTTGTCGCTGTTTTATTGCTATTTGGTTTTTTGTTTCGTCGCTTTTTTTTAATTTAGTTGTTTTGTTGATAATTTTATTTTGTTCCTTATTTATCAAAATCAGAGACATCATCATCAACTTCGCCACCGCCATCGTTGCCGCCACCATCGCCGTCGCGAAAATTTCAGAAGCTGGTTTGTACTCTACTTAACAATAGCCCTTGTAGAGGTCATTATCAGGTCGATAATCGTAGCTTCTATTTCCTTTATCTTAGAAAAATGAAACCCTTATCAAGCTAAACAGGATAGATATCAGCAATAGCAGCTCTTTACAGGTACTTCATTTCAGTAATGACTTTCCATAAGCACGCAAGATACACCGTGCATATACAGAGCCTATTGAAAACGTTTTGTGTAGGATGAAGCAGCAATTACCATCGACTGAGTCTTTTATAGAGAAATCTTAGCCTATTTGATTGTCAACGAGAAAATTTCCGATCGAAAGCCAGTCTGACTACTTTGTACTTTTTACTTTGTTTTAATTTCTTTATTCATCTATTTTTTTTTTCTAATCCTCCTTGTACCAAGAATTAGAAATACTTTTGGGACATATCAACACTTCAAAACAATATTTTCCGTTCTAATGAAGAGTCCCAAAGCCTTAGTTGCAGTCAGAAAACTCAGATTTGTTTTCAGTCATTATTCATGTTGTGTTTGGGAATAAAGTATCGTCAACTCAAAAACTAATTACGTTGCTCCAAAAAGGTACTTGCTCATTGTTTTTCAAAACAACTATTATTTTGCAAATTTTGTTTTTAATTTTTGAGCTCGTCTTTCTCAATCGGGATGAAAAGGAAAAAACGATCTTGACCGCTTTGAAACCTCGCGGCCAAACTGGAGGGGAACTTTTCACCGACAATAAAGTCAGCCAAAACCATCTCGTTGGACTATCTAATTCTTTTTCATAAGAGCCCGCGCTGAAATGTAGCTGCGTTATAAATACACTGCGACTCGAATACTCATGAGAGAATCAGGATTTTTTTTAATCACACTAATGAAAAATAGTCAGCATCTTACCTCAACAGAAATGAATTATTTCATTACAGGAGGCTAGGAGGGCTTTTGAACTCTTCGTCACCGGTATTGAGAACATTACCAAATCTGTTGAGAGCCTTTCTGGCACAGAGACGAAGACACTCAGAAGATCCACTTTTGGGGTGGCAGTCGCGTTTGAGGAATTTGCTCTAAATTATAGCAAGCTTCACACGATTGGAAGAAAGTCCGCAGTGGTTATCGACAGCCATAGGATGGGTGGGTCTGAATACTCTAATCATGTCTTTAATCATCCCTTAGTTGTTTAACTACCGACTAGGTGACTAACTGATCTAGCTGCCTTGATGCTGTAATGAACTATTCCACTGACTCAGGATTATTGCCGGATCAATAGATCAATCTGTTTCTTCCTTTAACTTTTTGCGTTTACCACTAATGGAGGAAGAGGATGATTATTTCCATCGACTGCAATCCTCAGACATACTAAAACCGCTTGTTGCCGATGTCTTTATGATCTTCGATCAGCGGATTGTACCTGGAAGGAGATGGAACAAAGAAAAGCCTTTACATCATTATAATAAATTGAGGGTATCACATGCTTTCAGTCCAGCACGAAATGCATTTCTTAAAGATAGATAGATAGTTTATTACCGAAAAAATAAAAATACTTTGCAGCCATAGGCTGAATTGCATACTTTTCACAATTATTTATATGAGACTATATATGAGACTATATAAAACTACAAAATTTACAAAAAATTCCAAGACCTAAACTAATTACAATTATACAGCAATGGAATAAAACGAAGTCGATACTAAGGCCCTAGATTAGCCCTAATAATAGATAATGCGCGCCTTTGGACCCTTTTGATGTCATCACTAAGATTCGCGGGTAACTCATGATGGAATATTTGCGCGCTGTATTCCAAAACAGGACGTCTTGTTGTACAATAGAAATTAAAAACTTTTTGTTGCTACGTGTTTTATCCGTCAGGACTGAGAAGTCAAAACCTCTATCGTCAAAATGCAAGTGACTTCTATTTTAGAGAACAAGAATGGAAAGCAAGCATCAAGGTCCCTTCTGCCAATTTTGCGAACAACGGTTTGTATTCACAGCAGTGGCAGTTCTAATGTGTAAATGCATTGCCCTTCTTTTGTTCCAAATTCTATTACCTATTGAAATACATCTCCATATACATTGTAGTTTGCTTTTTTGGTTTACACAATCTTATTTGACTCAGTTATCCGCAGTATTTGTAATTCAAATTATCCTTCTTTGAAGCTTATCAATTTTTTTCCTTTCTTTCCCGTTTTAGTGTCTATGTTTGTTGGGATTGTTTACAAGGATCTCCATGATTTACTAATTGTAGATCAACCCATCGGGATGAAAACGAGCAATAAAAGGTGGAGTTACTTCTCAAAGTTTTATGAGACCTAATATACCTCTCATCCAAAACAAATAACAAAGAAAGAAAGAGAAAAAAAAAGGCATCGAAGTCAACCAACAAGGACCTACAAATTTTCAAAACCCTACTTGGTTATTCCCCTGTGAGTCAATGATAATTTCCGCGTCTAAAATATTAATGTGAAAGGTGGTAAAGGCAACTAGTTTGCCATACCCCAAACAATTGTCATCCTCAAAATTTTTTTAATCCGTATCATGTTTTAATTCTATTTGCTCATGATAGATACTTAGGCTCCAGGATAATGGCCGTGACTATGGATCCAAAACCAAACAAACTGAAAGAGAATGTCATCTTAAAGTTCAGCAACCTGAGGGTAAGATCAACATCATAATAATATGGTCACTTCTTTTACGCAGTGTTTCAATATTTTGAAGAGATTGTATCCATTTTTAGGTCGATGGAGAAAAGAAATGCATGTTCTGGAGTGGCTTCAGTGAAGGGTAAAAAGCGGAATTACAGATCATGTATTTGTTTATTTTTATTACAGGTTATATTTTTTCAGTTTTATTTGTTGTTTTATGTCTTTATTCATTTGAATGCTTTTTTGTTTCTTCTCCATTTTTTTTATTATTTTTTTTTGTGTGTGCATAGTTTTGGGTGTCAATAACTTTTTACTTTTCTAGCTCAGACGGATTTTCAGACAGTGGATGCCAAGTGGTTACATCGAAAAGCAACTCAGAAGAAACAGTTTGCAGCTGCAATCATTTGACTCATTTCGCTGTCCTAGTTGACTACAACGGTATCCCAGGGGTAATGAATTCATTTTTACCTTACCATGAGTATTGATAATCAATTCCGTTCAGTTAATTAACATTTTTCTAATATCTCGTGGTGTCGTTTGTGATACAGCTCACCAAAGGGGACGAAACTAATCTGGAGTTTATCACCTACGTGGGATTAAGCCTTTCCATTATTGGAATACTTTTAACAATTATGCTATATTCCTTCCTCACGTAAGTACTATAGACAAAAGCTAAAATACATTAGAACATAGCTAGCAGAGTCGCGCAATCGAATTCGTTATACGTGAGAGTGCTCAAAATCCCGATAGTGCACGCTGATAGCGTCAGCAAATCCGACTTCGCGAGAAATTTTTGTTTTCGCGCGAGCGCCAATTGTTAGCGACGGGAAAAATAATACATTTCGCGACAATAATGGATACAAACAGAAATTGGGCCTACTAGTCCGAAAACGAAGAGAATGTTTCGATATTTTCCCCTGGGCTAGAGTTCTTAAATGAGTCAGAAAAATAGAGAAACAAAGGAAAAGGAGACTTGGCATCAGCGCCGTCACGACTCGCTTCAACTGATATTGTTGTCCGTTTTTTGCGTCGGATTCCACCGGCTATGTTTGCACAATTCCACCGGCTATGTTCTAAAACAATTGGTTCATGCTTTCAGCTYTGCACTATCGAGTTATGGAGCACGTGGGAAGTTTGGAGAGCACGAAAGAATCTAGAGTTGGCCTCGGCTATCGCCTCGGGCAACTCTTACGCTTCTTTCGTGCTCTCCAAACTTCCCGCGTGCCCCATAACTCGATAGTGCACGCTAAAGCATGAACCAATTGTTAATTAGCCTTGACAAGACTTTGAAGACTTTGTAATTAAATCAGACTAGTTCGTGAGAAACTAATACTAGATAGAAATTTATAATAATAGCAATAATAATAATAATAATAAAACTAAAAAATAATCATAGAAATTAAGATAATAAGTGATTATGATAAAATAGATTGGAAGAAGAATTAAATCTATCTGGGCGCCAGCGATGAAAACACCTAAACTGGTACAACATGAAATGAGAAGGATACGCTATTATTTTTCTGTTCTGTTTAATTTTTTTTTTTTGTTTGTTTCCTTTGTGCGTTTGTTTGTTTAACTATTTTATCAGAGATATCCGTCAGCCTCTATCTCAAATACGATTGAGTCTTTCTGTGTCCCTTGGAGCTGGACAAGGGATCTTTCTCGCGGGTGTTAACGCCACAGAAAATACGGTGAGTGATCTCTCCATTCATTCATAGTATTAAAGTATTCTGGGGGCGTAAGACAATTTTCAGAAAGCAGCGTGAAAAACATTCAAGAACTTTGCTTTCTCCCTCACAGGCTTCCTGTGTTACGGCTGCAGCTCTCATGCAGTATTTCCTGATGGCTGCTTTCTGTTGGATGCTGGTCGAGGGAATTTATCTTTACCTGTTTGTTGTTAAAGTTTATAACATCAGCGAAAAGATGCTCATGTATCACATCATGTCATGGGGTATTTTCAATTTATTTGTTGTCAGTTATTTATATATAAAGATGAAACAATATTTAGTTATTGATACCTCTTTTAAATCACTTCTGATCTGACTAAAACTTAATTCGGATTAGACTGACTCCCTCCTTCTTATGTTTAGGTTTGCCCATCATAATGGTAGGAATTTCACTATGCATCTCCGCTGGAAAAGATGGAATAGGAAGCTATATCAGTGATAAATAGTAAGAACAACATTCAGTGCTGGTATCTTCTCCTTCTCTATCTTCTTTGTCTCTTTTTCTCTTTCGCTGTTACTTATTTTTCTTTTGCTGTGGGTGGTTTTGGGGGTTATTTTCTCACAAATACATGTTTGTGTTTTTTGCTTTTCTCTTCCCTTTCAAGTTGCTGGCTCTCCTCAACTAACAACCTGATCTGGATATTCGTCGCATTTGTGGCGTTTATGGAAGCTGTAAGTCGATGATCAATTGGTGCATCATAGCTATTTTTTAAACCAGTATTGACTACTGCTAGAGATATTTTTTGTTTTTCTCATGCTCCGAACAAAAACAAAGAACAGCTTTGTGTTTTCGACTACCAGGCTCCAAATGTGCAACATACTGTGACACTTGTCTTTTAATGAAGAAGTAGGGAATGGTCTAATAGACCTTTTGGTTTTTTTTACCTCAATAAGAGAGCATCAAAGCACGTAACGCGAACAGCTGAGCTTCAGGTCTCGTGCAAGACTCATACTTCTAATTTTTCTTCTATCCACAACACACTTAACATTACTTGTTTGTTTCAGCTCAACATTTTTATACTCGTCCGAGTCATAAAGGAGGTGAGCAAACTAACGCAACCAACAGGAGAAGACAACCATACTCAGCAAATACAGTAAGATCTAAAATCCGAATTTGATTTATTATTTCAATGAATCAGGGGAAACCAGATGAAAAAGAAATTAATCAAAATAAGAACAAATTGCTTGATAATCTAGTTCTTAGGTATTTTCCTAAATTCTCCTCTACATGATCTAAAATAATTTCAACTTGAAATTTACTTCATGTGAAGGAAACGAACGTGTTTTAATCCACAAATTATATACCGTCATATTTCTTCAGGCTTTGCATTAAAACGTGCGTGGTGATGATTCCACTGCTGGGTATCACGTGGGTATTTGGTCTTTTGTTACCATTGCACAAAGCTTTTTCCTACATTTTCACCATCTTCAACTCTACTCAGGTGAGCTTTAAAGAAAAATTTGGAAAATCTAGTAGTCCGTACGTATACTTCAGTACTAAAGCTACTGCGACATTCTCGTATTGGTCAGGCGACATTTCCGATCAAAAAATAACTTATTCAACTTGAGAGAATTTCTTACTTCTTTCGTGAGATCTGGGACATGCCTTGATTTTTTTATGATTTATTTGCTGAATTAAACAGAATTAAATCTTAATGCAAAATCAAATCTTGATGCAAAATCAAATCTTGATGCAAAATTAAATCTTGATGCAAAATCAAATCTTGATGCAAACTCAAATCTTGATGCAAAATCAAATCTTGATGCAAAATCAAATCTTGATGCAAAATCAAATCTTGATGCAAAATCAAATCTTGATGCAAATTCAAATCTTGATGCAAAATCAAATCTTGATGCAAAATCAAATCTTGATGCAAAATCAAATCTTGATGCAAAATCAAATCTTGATGCAAAATCAAATCTTAATGCAATTTTCTGTTTTAGGGTTTCCTGATTTTCGTCTTTCACTGTGTGCGAGACAGCCAGGTAAGATGGACATTACACTAAGAGTGCACCTAAAGCAAATTTCGAAGTTTGCAGACATTAACAAAGATTTTAGTGCTTAGTGACTCATACTTTGTGCCATGTTCATTTACAGATTAGAGAGCGATTGAAAAGAAAGATGAACACCATTTTTCCATTTACAGACAATGGAAGGTCTGCAAAGAAGAATTCACAAGTTAATCCAAGTGATGTCGGCAATGCTTGGGCAGTTGAATTGCAGTCGTTTCATGATAAGCCTGAGCACTAAAACATTCCCCTTTTTTTAGTTGCTCAGTTCAGCCTATATAGTATCGTAATGTCAGTATATTCTGGTCGTTCTAACTCGACACATTAGTCAGTGTTATAATTCTTTGGAATAAGTCATTGAAGTAGTGCAAGTGGTTGTTGATATTAAGGAGCGCGGTGAATAGGGTACGTTCTTGGGTGTCAGCTACGCTGAGCCACGTTTGTTCGACAGGTTTCCTGGTTGAACCGCTTCGTGGTACCTGAAACTGCCTCTTGAAAATTTTTCGTGTAGAGAGGACGTCTGACACGTCTGGAGAAGCATCCGAGCAAAATGCATGTAGTCATACTCATAGACAATCAAATAATAAAGCTTTTTTTTTCAAACATATTTATTAAATAACTATACTACATCGGAATATTAACCCAAACTAGTTTGCAGTTACAATGTTGTTCCAGTTCTGATCATTTTGGCTGCATATTACTTTGTGTGCACAGAGTTGAATAATTTCAATGTTTCACAAACTTTCGCAAAAGAAAAATCTATAAAAGCTACGTGAAACTTAAGGGATATTTTAAGTTCCGCCGGCTTTAGAAAGCAAGCTCGATACTTTTTTATCTCTTATGATTTGAATTTAACTTTAAAGGGAACTAGAGTACTGGGGTAAGAATGTAGGGCCTAATATGACTTTTCCGTAGAACACGTAAGAGAGCTTTGTCGACATAAAATTTGTTATAACTAATACGAGCTATGTCAACGATGAAATAAAAAGCAATCTAAGAAAGACGAGGCAATTGAACCGGAACACGATGCTGAAATTTCGTAATCCTGAAGGCCATGTTTTCCTGCACAAACAAAATCGTGTCAAACGTGCGCTATTTGCCTAGAAAACAGCTTTTTGTTATTTCCATTTACAGAGGTCTCGATTCACAAGTTAAAGCAGAATGCGAAACGTGAAAAAAATTAAACTTTACGCGTATCACCAACATTTGTTGTGTATGAACTTTTCTTCTCACCAGGCCCGTACTTCAAGAATGCAGTAATGCAATATCACACCAGGTTCTCTAGTCTCCTCTCACTCAATCCATCAACCTCACGTCCCAAGTCGCCGCTCTCAAAGACCAGCGGCTGCATGCATACCAAAGGATATACGATCTAAGTCGGAAGTTGAAGACCGATGCCATTACAGTTTGAGTTCAACATCCATTTTTCTTGACTAGGGCTTCTCAATTCGCCGCCTGCTTAACGTTTTGAAGTCTTTCCTGGAATATTAGTTGATGTAAAGTATAAAATATCCAATTGTGAATGTTATAGACGGTTGGCGCGTAAACAGACTCAAAGGTCTGGCTACGAGTATAAGGTCGTTGTCATAGCTTAGAGCCTGCCTTGCTTAGTATCTCGGCATTGGGGTTCTGTATCGTGTCTGTGTGGCTAACAAAACAAAACGTTTAGTAAGAAATAGAAAAAGAGAAGTTTGATGAGCAGAAATGTTAAAATGAAGTACGATTAGTCACGATTAAGGCAAGAGGTGATTTTTTTTTTAGCGAGACAACTTACGTTTGGGAAGCATTTCATCATCTTCGTCATCGTCCAGCATTCTTCTTTGTTTGCGAAGTTTTTGTCTGCAAAGGTAATCATGACAGCAAAACACTTTTGAAGCATAAAAAACAAACTTTTGGGGCCGTATTTATTTATAAATATTGTATATTTATAAAGACACCAGGAATCACATCAATTGGTTTTTTTACCACAATATCGACGTGGTCTGTACTCTTATCGACAACGGATAATTGACCAATCAGATTGCGACATTACTGCCAATTGTGGTAAAAATCTTGTTGACAATAGTTTTCGAGCAAGGCGCGGTAGATTTTCTACAGTTATTGTAAAAATCCCACAACAGTGTTTTCATTACTTCCATCAAGCCACAGCATATTCTATTCCACTAACAAGAGATGAATATTGGTTGCACACTTTTTAACGAACTATCCTGATGATATTTCGAAGTTATTTACCTCTAAATCTTTTATTTGTACAAAGTTTTCTATCGATATTATTATCAGTATCAGTGTGATGCATATGTATACTATAGCTGTAGTACATCGTTGGGCTCAGGATTCTTATTGATAATAGACAGCTTTTTGCATCTGAAGGGACTTCCCTGAGCGCTATAAATCAATAAAGGTTCTTCCTCTTCCTCCTCTTCTTCTTCTTCTTCTTCTTCTTCTTCCTCTTCTTCTTCTTCTTCTTCTTCTTCTTCTTCTTCTTCTTCTTCCTCTTCTTCTTCTTCTTCTTCTTCTTCTTCTTCTTCTTCTTCTATTGTTTTATCCAGGTCTTAAGAGCGCAGGTGCTAATTATTATCTCACCTTTTTGTGCAGATACACACAGCCCATATTACACCACCGATTCCGGCCACAAAAGCTAAGGAAGCGGCTATAATGTACACTATCATCCAATCTAAGGACAAAAACGTAGTCAACGATCCAAATGAGCGCTTATTATCGCTAGCTGCAAAAGGTTATGAATTTTCTTTTACGATATGGAGTTAAATGATGGTGCAAAATGGGCCTGGAGAGTCCTTTATCAAAAGGCAGATGATTATCAAAGGAGTTTCCGCTGTGGGTGAAGCAAACGATCTGAGGTAACGGGAGGCCTCAAAGGATAAATGGCAAGAAGCTTGCAGTTTAATTACGAATCGCAAGTCTCTTAAAACGGAAAAACTGCAAAAGTTGTTATTTCCTCGGTTTATAGCTTCGTCTTTTAACTTAAGGCTTTATAAAAACCACGAAGCGGACGAGAGGAGCTAACCTTTTTCTTTTTGACCGGACGATGCTTTATTCATATATGCCGACTTCACGTTCGCCCCTTATGATCCGGGCTCAGCACTTGTCTGGCATAAGACACCGCCAAGACATTGCACAGCGAAACGCTTTCCATTCAATAATTAAGCGATATCACACGAGGGACGAGCACAGCATCGACCAATACACCGGTGGATATCATGTGCGTTACCCAGAGCTGTGAAGTTACTGACTTTAGTTCCCGGTCTAAGTTTGATATCATTGGATATTCTGCTGTCCAACATGCACGTGGCAGATGAAGAGGCCAGCTCTGTAGTTGTAGAATCTTCTGGTGAAGAAGCAACTCCTGATAAATCTGGGGAAGTGATTGCATCAGTTGTTCATGGTCTTTCCTCATTTTGATCAATATAACGTCATAAACCAAAATAACAACGACAACACTAAAAACAAAAGACAGAGGCAGATCGCAGTCAGCCAGCTTGACCAAAGAAGCTTCAATTTATTGATAAAATATTCATTATATAGGCAATATATTTTCCCCATAATTTCTCCTACACGGGAACAAAACAAGCAATCCACTGTGGACGAGATATGCACATCTTACCCGCCCGGTAAGCCAGCCTTTTGAACTTTCTCATCGAAATGTTGTTTTTTGCTAAGCTATATTAAAAAAGGTTCTAAGTAGGTGTAATTACACATTTAATGACCTCTTCACATTCTTTTGTATTTATAGAAATTAACATCCGATTGTATCCCGAGGACAATCACAGAGAAACCAAAGAAAAACTTCCCTGGGTAGTTAATAAGTCTGTAATATATTCTCTTACGTATTGTCGGCAGAGAAATCTGAAATTCACGTTTTCACTTTTATTCAATTAATTATTATTTTTACCTGTTTCCTCTTTAGGCTCCCCTTTCATTACCATCGCGGAGATCAGAGGCGACCTCTTAGAGGCCTTTACCGAGACTGGGATACAGAAATCCTTCCTGGAACATGACACAGAATAGCATTTCTTCTCCACCATATAAGCTATGTCGCACTTCTTACTGTCGCAACATTTTCCATACATTTAGCCATAGTGTCCACGTCTTTGACAACGATGACGTTGTTTTTGTGAGTTCCACCCGGAAGATCTTTGTAATTTGTAATGTTGCTGTGTTTGCATTTGAGGTATTTGGGCTCTGGCGGGATAGCTGGTGCTTTACTTGATTCTAGTGGAGAAAAATTCAATTAAACACGTTATCAATCACAAACTTAAACAACTAGCAGCAGAATTCCGAACCACGACAGACATCCATGGATCATAAAAACCGAGAACGCCGATGTGAAGAGAAATGCCCCGACCAAGAGATTAGCACCTTTTGCTACCGACGAACTCCCAGTAGCACATTCAATTTTTTTTGTTTTAACAGTTCTTGCGTCAGGTCGAAAATTGAACAAATTAACCTACCTTTTGTTATCCGAAGTTTTCATTGGTCTCACATAAGAAAGCTGAGGATTGTAATCTGTTGGGGGAGCTTTTGAATGTTCACAGAGTTCTATACTTTTACAAGCTACAGAGTAGCAGGTCTCGCCGAGCATAAATGCCACATGTCACTTTTCTTAAGTTTCGCGTGAGTTTCAGACCAATTCCTGACGAACCCTAGGGTGGCCGCTTAATAGGGGTTGGACTGTAGTTTTAATGCATCCGAGATATTGAAGAAAGATGACAAGTGCCACTCCTACTAAGAGCTGTTTTCCGACCGAAAAATAGCTGCCCGTTATTTTTGCCATTTTTTATAAAAGAGATCAGTTTCAGGCGTTCTAGAATCATCCTTTATTTTCTGCGCCGCAAGCTTCAGCAAATTTTCGGCGGGCAAAGTGCCTAAAAGAAGAACAATCCAAAGGACACATTTCTCAAAATTTGTCGAGGGCGCGTTCCTCGAAGTATTCTTGTGTTTTTGTTTCTGCTTGTACGAGGGAGTGATAATTATATACAGTTGTTTCGGAAAAATACGGGTCAAAGGGAGAGATGACCCGGAAGGTTTTGTAGGTAATTTTTAGATCCTGGTCTCTTGACCTCAGTATTTCATGAAAATGTGAGAGAATTTCACCTTAAGGACAAAACATTACGTATGACGAACTTACTTTGTCCACAGAAATGACTTTTTATTCGATTCTAAACTGCATGAAAAGCGAAAAAACAACAACAACAACAATAACAACGAAAAAAACAACTGACCCTAATGAAAGACGAAAGTGATGTAAACTCAACGAAATAAATTTCCCAATAGATTCAAAACTCTGTAATCCGATTTGGAACTTCCAGACCCGTTACACGAGGTATTATCGATCCCCTTTAAAGCGGCAGGTGAAACTCATGTCTGGTCTTTTCAGTATAAATGATTAAATAACATCTTGTTTACAAATACCAAATTAATCAAAATAGGGTTAATTGAGTCAGAAATGTGTTCCTCCTGCTCAATTTATAAAAAAGACATACCAACTCTTTTATGACTGCTCCTATGCGCGAGCCTTTTGTTTTGTAATTGGGGGTTTAATTTATCGGAGTGGAAACCTGAACTTATGTCTAAAATAAGTTATAATTGGTATTTTAAATAGAAATGACCTCTCAAATTTTTTGATAAAGCTTGGTAAACTGTGTATATGGGAGTGTAGAAGAAACAAGTCAATTCTAAAGTTTGAACTATTTCTACTCAAAGTGGAAACTGTTAAGGAGAGTGGAAGACTTATTGCCTTAAGAAATACGAAGCTTCAAGATCTTAGGAAAAGATGAAAACTATTATTACAAACATTTTGTTGTCATGATGCGCGGAGAAAACATTAGTAAATGGCTCATTTCAAATCTGGATTGCCTATCTTTATTATCAATTGACCCATGCTTTAAAATCTAATTGAGATATCTCCACTGTATCTGTTATGTATTGTGCTGTCTATCTCTCAAGAATAGGTATCACAAGTTTAATAATAGTTGTAATAAGGATAGCATCGTAAATAATGTAAGCATTGTTAGTATTTTAATTACTATAAGTGATCTGAGTAGTATTAGTAATGTACTGTTGTATGTAATTGATAATAGTAATAATAATAACAATGGTAAAATCATTATAATTATTTCTGTTTTCATTTTCATCATTTTGTAGGGTGCC